ACCCATCGCCGGTTCCTGATTCGGCGGATACAGTAATTGTGGTTTTTATGACAAAGGAATAAAAACATGTGTCGATATGATTACGACATTGATATCGAAAGGTGAACTTTTCAGAAAAAAAAATCCAATTAAATGTAACGGCGTAAAATACTGAACATAAATCACTGACAGGAGCCATCAGAGATGAGGGAGCTAGCCAGCTAACCAAAACGCCTTCAGTTACAGGTCGATCTTTGATCGCAAATCATTATTTTTAGCAGCTGAAACCAAATGTTCAGACGAGAAGAACAGGCAGAAGACAAAACATTAAAAATTAATTCCTTGTTTCCAGTATGATAACAGTTTTAGCATTTAATATATGTGCAACAGAAATGTTTTACAGTGACAGTATGGGATCTGTTGCCCCCTCCTTTGATACATCCCGACTCAGACTACACACCACCCCTGCCTTTCTCCTGGTGTGAGTTTGTGTGTGAGTAGAACCAAGGACGGACCAGGACCAGACCGCACGGACCATACGGGGACAGATGAACCACGCTCCCCGGGGGGGCCGGTCCCATTCACACTGGGAAAGTGACCGTCCCACGCCGTCGGACCAATTCGACACGAGAGAGGAGGCACGGCATGTCAGGATTCCACGGATACTCGCGCCGTGGCTTGGGCTGGGAAGTGTGGTAATTTTTACCGGTGGTCAGTCGTGGCCGCTCCAGTAATTAAGGAGGTTGCTTAGTTCGCAAGTAGTGTAGAGCATCGCTGACACCTGGTCCTGGTTTCTGCGGAGAACTTAGAGCTGACAGGAAATTCGCGTGACAATCCGTATACCACCATTTAATCGCCTAACAAGTACTCCAACAAAACCGTTGCTTTATCACTTGTTAGCAGGTGATATGTGAAAAACATCTAAAATCATCCAAAGAACATACAGACACATATGATCAAAGAATAGAGCCAGTCATTCTGAGCTGGATAATCCAGACAGACAAATAAGCGCAAAGAGCAGACGAATTTGTGCACCGTCACCCTGTCACATATAATGCGATGGGACCGTTCCCATCCGTTACCAACTTATCACTCTTCTCCCCTGCCCAGGTCACGTGATAGAGAAACCCACCTCTGATGACGTCACACGGAGGACCTCACACCGATAATGCGTGGCTACACTGAATTAATGGCCAGTCTCTGACGTCAATGTATAGGAGCCATCGACGAGAGATGCGAGGCTATCGCGTCAATCCGTGGCCATTAATACGGTGCAGGTGTACTCAGAGTAAGGGGCTAATGAGATGGGTGGTGTTGCGTCGCGATGGGGTTGGATAGTGGGAGATGGAGCCGAGAGAGAGAGAGAGAGAGAGAGAGAGAGAGAGAGAGAGAGAGAGAGAGAGAGAGAGAGAGAGAGAGAGAGAGAGAGAGAGAGACAGAGAGACAGAGAGACAGAGAGAGAGAAGAGACAGAGAGAGAAAGAGAGAGAAAGAGAGAGAGAGAGAGAGAGAGAGAGAGAGAGAGAGAGAGAGAGAGAGAGAGAGAGAGAGAGAGAGAGAGAGAGAGAGAGAGGAAAGCGCAGACCTCGTCAAACACCTGCCTCTTATCATCTAATGACATCCTCAATCACATATCATATTCCAAAAGCCATACTCTGATATAATGTAAAGTCACACCGTGCGCTCCGATCGACCCGAGCCCTCATACTGTGCCAGTTTTCGTCGGGCGATGAGCGAAGTTTCGTCTCTGTACGGCTCTGTTCTGTATAGGCCTGCCCCGTTTCCGTCTATTTATATGGTTCCGTTCCCTTATACGGTGCTGTTTGTATTCATACTCGTCTCGTTTCTCTATTCTTGCACTCTAAACCTGTTTCCAAAGGTCACCACCTTTCTCCCTAAGTTCCGACCCTTCCTCCGTATAGCATTGACCCGTCTCCGTAAGTCCTCACCCCATCTCCGTGCGGAACTGCAGTGTCTCCTCCCAGCTGACCCCATCTCTCTGTGGACCGCAGGGCTATCTCCGTCGTACCGCGAACCCATCTCCATACTTCACTGCCGGGCCGGAGCGGGTCAACATCATGCAGCTCGGGCACTACTGTCTGCCGGGCGGACTGCGGCGCGTCCTCTGAGGCCGGCCGGTGACCTACGATAGTATGTCAGCGTCCCGGGCGGACCCGCGCGCAGAGCGTTACCCCCTAATTTGCGATTCACCTGGTTATTGGCGTGCAGGTAGTGATAGGCCGGGTTTGGTAACGCGCGACTTACAAACGACGCTGCTAGAGTGATGTATTGCAGGAGTGAACTTTTACCGTTGTCGCGGTGCGGGCCGCCTGCAGAAGGATGAATGGGGCAGGGCTGAATCGCTATCGAAGCCGAGAAATGCTAGGCTAGCACTGAACCTTATTGAGCCAGTGTTAAAGTCGTAACATATGTACGGTGCATCGTATGCAGCCTATGCAGGATTGGCTGTGGTCAGGGTGTGAGGCTTGCGAGTTAATCCCGGTTTAATTTTAATGTTGAAATGCTATAGCACTGTTAGGCAGCATGTTTGTGTTTACTAGACAAAACCCTATCTTCTGAAAAAGTCAATAAGCAGTCTCTCAGACTGTCTTGTAGGATATTGGTGAGGAAAATATGAATAGAAATAACGTTGCTAAGTGACCTCAACGCTGTTCAGAAACCGAAGACACCTTTTTTCAAAATATTTCAATTCTTTTCCCTAAAACTTACAATTTAAACAATTACTTCCAAAAATGTCCCCAGAAATCTGCTCGTTTCATCTCGTTTTTTTATGATTCCCGGTATATTTCAGCCACTCGGCTGCTCTGAGTCTCCGTTAGTGGGTCAGCGTGGTGTCCGCGTGTCTGGGACGCTCTGCTGCGACAGTGTGACCAGATGGTATCCCCTGGCTGACCCCATACCGGGCCGACCGCCCGCCCTGGTCCCCGCCCGCCCCGCCCGCCCCGGTCCGAGCGGCGCGGCGGTACTGATGGGGCGATAGGAGAGTGACCCACAGAGCTGGCCACTTGAGAGTGTCACACCTTGACTGGGGCGTGGGACTATCACTGAGGGTGGGATATAGAAATTACTGTCACCTGAACTGTCACCGAGGGCGGGGATACAGAGCTCACTGTCAGCTGAACTGTCACCAGAACTGTCACCAGAACTGTCAGCAGAACTGTCACCTGAACTGTCACCAGAAATGCCACCAGAACTGTCACCAGAACTGTCACCTGAACTGTCACTTGGAGAAGGACGGACAACAACTTGTCACATAGACCGGATCAGCCGGCTGGCAGCAGCTGTCACACTGTGACATTGCTCACCGGCTGTCACCAAGGAAACGCTGTTGGCAATAGGTTCTTCTCAGACGCGAGTCCGGCTGTACGGCCCTCCAGATATTTAGTGGTTGGTTGCCAACATCACAGTGAGCGATCTGCATTGATGAATACGTATAATGGCTGTTGAAAACCATTGCCGAAGTGTGTGCACGAACCCTCTTCTCATTTCTATTGAGTCATTTTAAAGGAGTGTCTCTGTCATTCAAAGTTATTACACCAAAAGCACATAGGCTAACCAACCACTCTTTTGCTGGAGGGCGTACATTATACCGTGCTTCTTGCCATGCAGAAATGTGGCGACAATCTGACTTTTAGAAACTAAGCGACATAGTTAAACCGGTCAAAATTCTACGCAAAGTTTTAAATAAATCAACATACCGAACAGAGAGACTACTCAGAATATGCCGTAGTGCTGGCAGTTGTTTGAGACTGATTTGTGAGTCAGCCTGGCCAGAAATAGGCCATGGGGACCGATGGCAGCGCTAAAACACAAAAAAATCATACCTCAAAATTGAAATACTTACGTACAACTTAAACTAAAGGCGAGGAAATATTCAGGTAATGGTAATGCGAAAGCAAAAAACTCGCATTTTTTAATGTCTTCTTTGGACATTAATTTTTCATTTCGGATGGCTTCATATTCTTATGCACAAAACAGATGGGGGAGGGGGGGGGGGTGCCGTTGCCAGCTTGAGCCGTCAATTACAATCTGAGCCGCACTGTTGATCCCAGCCATTCTCCCTCTGACCACAATAGTAATGTAGTCAGAGGGAGATGACAATGGTAATGTGGGAATCGTGAGCTGAGGCTGCCGTGAAGCGTTAGCCGCTTCACTGGCTGATCGCCGCGGTCCCACACACTGCCAGCCCTGGTGACTGGTGGCGAGAAAAAGTCTCACGGTTAAATGGCTGACTGACACCTGAACGACTTCTGACGTTCTGACCTCATGTGACCTGGGGTCAAAAACTAACACAAGATGTGAAATTGACGCATCATATAGGCTATAACAAATATCGCGACACAACGCGCTGCGGTTTTCTTTACACATGCAAAGAACTGGTAGGTGTGGTCAAAAATGCCCCCCTCCCCCCATCCGGGCGAAGGTTATGCCCTGGGTGCCGGAAAAAAACTATTTTAGTCCTCTGTGTTTGTATCTTTGAACTGGAAAGGTGTTGATAACTTTATATTACTTGAGGGCAAAAAAGCATGCAATTACCAAGGTTTTAATTTCTTATGTGTTTAGCGTTCGAAAATCTCTGTCTTATCTTATCCTTATGATGTTTCGCGGTTAGCCAAAAATTTGACTTTTTAATAGGTGAATAGAACGGTGGCCTAAAAAGGCATGCAAAAAACATAAACGGATTCATTCATTATAAGGTAAAAATTTGTATAGACATAAATTCGTTGCGGTGCAGAACAGAGTAACACTCAGCCTCCTACAAGTTGTTCAGGAAGTCCTAAGAAGACTTTGACTATGTTACTAGATACTGTCGCGGTGGCGGCCTCACTGAAGCTGTTTGTGTTTGCGTCACTCCGGACACGCGGTGGTCACGCCCCGTTCGGTCCGAGGACCAACAGACCCGCCTGGGGACCAGCGGCGGTCCCGTGACCGCTCCCCGCTCTGCCCCGCTCCCCGTCCTCTCTCCGTCCGGGGCGGCGCGGCTCTGTGACCGGGGCAGTCAGACGTCAGCCATCCGGCCTCGGAGGAACACGTGCGCAGCTCGGAGGACACTGCGGAGAGGACTGAGAGGACTGAGAGGTCCCCGCAGCAGCGTGAGACATGGAGCGGCTCGGAACGGTCTGCCGGATGGCGGCGGTGTTACTCCTGGCGGCGGCAGCGGCGGCGGAGAGCAGCGTGCACACCTTGTGAGTAGCTGGGTCTGTCTAGCAGTGGAATATCTTCCACAGATCGTACTTATTATCGTAGAGATAGATCGTACGTTACTCCTGTTAACCCTCTGACTGTTCGTCGTTAATTAGGTTAACCTGCACAAGTGCAGAGTCCGCAGTCGACCCTTTGCCGGTGTGTGTGTTTCCTGTCGTCGCTCCGTCCCATCAGTTGGCGTATCGTCGCTTCTCATCCAAGTTTTACCAGGTGACGAGCTCAGCCATTTACGTCAATTACAAGATCTTTAATGAAGGCGATAAAATGCCAATTCTTTTCGGCAATTTTCCATAAACGCATGAAAATGCAACGCAAATCTTTACACAGCCCTTGGTTACACTGGAATTTGGTGGATAGTAGATAGCAAGCGTATCTGCCAACCCCAGGTCCCCAATGCTCCATCCGAAATTGTTCTCAGCTGGGCTCTGTCCAGGATTAACCCTCGCCCGCACATGCCATTTTCCCATCCTAGAACGCACATGGGGGGGGGGGGGTGGTTGCCACCCCCCCCCCGCGCCATTTCGTTCCTGTTGGAGATAGAGCTTAGCGGTAAAGACCAAAAAGATTCTTTGGGAAGAGACGAATCCAATGATACCCAGTTTTACCTTCTCAGGTCAGTCATTGACCTTCCAGGTCAGGTCAAACTAAAAAATATTGCTGTTTTAGGTCACCGTTGGATATCAAGTGCGCTGCTTATCATATACCGATGACGATGCTGTTTTCTGGTGCCAAGCCAGCTAGAACCTCTTTCTCACACTACCCGACCAGATTTTTGCTGCTGAGGTCATTTCAGGTCAAGCTAGGTCAAGGTCAATTATATGTGTTTGTATGTCTGTGTGTGTCTGTGTGTATACTGCTGTGTGCACCGATTGTTTTTGTGTCCATATTACATGAAATCATGATCTGAGAAGCTTTGACCAAAAAATGCAGTCAAAAAAAATTCACAAAAAGTAAATTCAGCTTGCCTAAAACGCAATTATCTTAGATGACCTAGGTTGACCTTGACCCTGACCTTGACACCTGTACATCGTCGAACAACATGTTCCATGATAGTTGGGAGGTGAAACTGGCAAAAAAGGCCGAAATCAAGGTGTCAAAAGCTCACAAGGCCCATGGCAAACGAAAAACGAAAGATGTTGAGAATTGGCCATTTGGGTCATGACATGACCTGAAAAAACAAGGTCATATCTCCGAAACCAAAAATCACAGACACTTGAAATTTTCGGTGGACATCAAGAAAGGATAGAGGAGCAGCTATACGAAAAATCAGCCTTCTAGCTCCAAAAATGTTGAGTGCAGAGCAGAAAGACTACCTGGGGGGGGGGTGGCAACTAGAGGTGGCAAAAGATGAAAATTTTGGGAACCAGACTCGAACCAGACCCGGCTGGACATTTCTGGAACCAGTCGGACCCGGTCTTAGTTGGAATCGGAACCATTTGGACCCGTTCCCCAAAAGTCAATTAATACAAACTACTTGTAGGTGTCATAAGTTGCATCTTGTAAAACAGCCTATTTCCCACTGGGAATACCCATGAGCTACTGTGTGCAAAGAAACATTCACTTCATGCACTTCATATTTTGCAATAATGTGTAGCGTGCATGATGTATAGTTTATGGTAGGACCCGGTTGGACCCGTCATAAAATTTCCAGGAACCGGTCTAGACCCATATGGGTCCAGACTGGTTCTTTGGACCGGGTCCTCGGGTCCACATTTTGCCACTTCTAGTGGCAACCACCCCCCCCCCCCATGTGCGGGCGAGGGTTAAAGTAAAAACGAACGTTGTAGCCCTAAGACCGATGTCAAACCTCCAAAAGGCACTCGTGTCCTTCCCCAGAGCCGGGTCTCCGTCTACGCACGCTGTATCCACCAGTAAAAGTAAAAGTGCTCCCGGTTGTGTAACGTCCTCTCCTGCCCTGGCGGCCTCGGGCCTAATGGCACATCCTCGTAAAATATGTGGACTGGAAACGATCTGGGTCGCGCCACATTCCACACGCTGAGCTCCGATGGAGCCGCTCTGACGGCGGGTCGCGAGCGCGGCCTGCTGGTATTTGTGAGCGTTAATCAAATGTTGTAAGAACTGGTGCGCTTAGACGTTCCGCATGCCAATCTAATTCCCAGGCAATTTAGGCGTATTTCAGGCATCAGTTACGGGCTATCTCGTAGCAATTTTTAGGACTCTGCCGCCTGCGAATGAGTTTTGCGTCATGAATGTAGGTTCTGGTAAATCTGGAAAGCACTAGTGGTTATAGTGGACATTTCGAAAAAGGTTATAGTGAATATTGCAATGAAGCGATTACACCTATGATTTGTTGATTTATTGGTTTAATTTGCTAAATTTGTTGGATTTTCAAAGAAAGCATTGACTTCAGCAACAGCTCTGAGAGAAAACCATAAGACTTACAGTAAAGAATACCGATCACAAACAAAAGGCCTGGCTACACTATGCGTTTTCTGCGTGCGTTTTTGCGGGTTTGCGTGTTTTGCGTAATATCGTTCTAGAAAAAAAGTTATAAATAATATAAATTTTGCATTGGTTATATACAAAAGTTAATATAACTCTTATGTCAACTAAAATTTCAGGTAAAAAACATCACAAAAACGTAATTTTGTTGCTTTTCTTTAACGACATCACGCAAAACACGCAAACCCGCAAAAAAAAAACGCACGAAGAAAACGCATAGTGTAGCCAAGCCTAAAGGGTGGGAGTAGCGAGCCGGTGCGGGTCGGCGTTGAGTAACTTCAGCGGTGACCTTGGCCTATTGCCTCAGCTTTTGCACGTCCCTGAGCTGTTATACCACTTGTTTTGCATGAAAACGTATAAGAAGTTTTATAGCACAGCCACAGTATAACGTAGTAAATCAGAAATAAAAACCGTATCAAAAATAAGGTACATGAAATAAGGCATCTGCTCTATCCGGTGTGCCTTGTTTCTGATACTGTTATTTGCCACTGAATTTGACACTGACACTGACACTGTGTCCCCAGGGCCCGACGCTGTGTTGTTGACCTCACCTATAACACTGACACCTGTGTCCCCACGGCCCGATGTTGTTTTAGTGACACTGACTCTGACTCTGACTCAATCTGACACCGTGTCCCCTGCAGGGCCCCGATGCTGGACATATGGTATTGACTTTGACTCTGACTCCAACACCCGTGTCCCCAGAGCTCTGATGCTGTTTTAGTGACCCTGACTCAGACACTGACCCTGACTCTGACTGACGCTGACTCTGACTCTGACTCTGACATTGAAACTGACACTGACACTACGCCCCCAGGGCCCCGATGCCGTTTTAGTGACACTGATTCTGACCCTGACACTGACACTGACTCTGACTGACTCTGACACTGACTCTGACTGACTCTGACACTGACTCCTACACCCCCAGGGCCCCGATGCTGGACATTGAACCGCTGGACGTCGTCCACGACTCCGGGGCGCTGCTGAACCGGTCTCGTCGCACCACGGTCCTGGAGGACCTCAGTCTGGCCGTACCCAGGGGCGCCATCCTGTCGCTGGCGCCCCGCTTCGGCTGGCTGCTCTACCAGGGAGAGGATGAGGAGGAAGGTAGGCAGAGGCGAGAGGGGTAGGGGTAGGGAGCCGGGAGGGGGGTCAGAGAAGGGGGTGCAGGGAAGATAGATCAGGGTAACGGGAGGACTCGGAGGAGGGCAAGGACATGGCTGACTGGTTGTCCAGTGGAGAGGCTAACGGCAAAATGAAGGATGGAAGAAGGAAATGCTGTTTTAGAAGGGACGAAATGAAGCGGTAGGAGTTGACAGCGGGAGGCAGAGACTAATAAGAGTAAATAAGGACTAATCAGCGGGAGGCAGAGTAAATAAGGCAAGGTGTTGGTCGCTTTCAAACGTCAGCGATATACCGAAGCACTTATGTGTTTGTATTCCACTCTTCGACACTCTCTGGAACCCCTGGAACGCGTAAATCACCGTTGCAGCCATTAATCACTCTCTCGGACAAGTCCAAACATAAAGAGGCAGTCGCATCTAAACACATCTGAAAGTTTGTTGTTGCCACTCTTTTCTGGCCGCACCAAACAGCGCTTTATATGCAGAGCTGCGCCCGCTTTGGAGACACGTGCCACGTTACGGAGGGACGGAGAAAGAGACAGAGGGAGATGGACGGAGACGCGGGCTATACATCAGCCCTGCGCGGCGGCCGGGACCGTCTTCGATACAATCACGGCGCCACTTTCCACCGGCACTGCCAGCGTCACGTGGTGACCGCCGGGCGGTGCCTGTTGCCGGGCGGGAGGAGCCACGCGCGGCCGCGGCCTCCCGCCGGCCCTCTGCAGAGGAGGCCCGGAGATGAATATTTATCGCCCACTGGAGGTGATGAGTCGGGCGCCGTGATGTATTGGTGTTTGGACGGAGAGAGCGCTAACTGACAGATACACGCTTCTGGGAGGTGTAGACACGGCGGAATTAGGGGCAGAGCGGGAGGAGATGGCCGGGAAATCGCACCTATTTACAGTCAGTCACATCAAAATGCAGATGACATGTTATACTCACAACATCCTGTCGAGATCTGTGACACATTTCCACCGTCAGTAAAACACCGTTCGTCCTAACAGAAACTGGGCATTGTTCGTTGTGTTTTGACACTGTCACCTCATTCGTTTGAACGTAGCTGTATCGCGCGTTTTGTTCCGACCTCCTCCTCTCCTGTTCACCCAAAAAGAGCTGGACCTCGAGCGTCGCGCTCTGACACTACCGTTATATGTTCCGTACGGAGGCGAACCTCTTGTGTCTCATTCTGACACCCTCCCTCCCCACCCGTTCCCTCAGAGCTGGATCTGTTCTTTTAGTCGGAGTTTCTCTACCGTTTTCAGGAGAGCTTGACACTTCCCCTGTTCCCCACAGAGCTGGATCTGGTGTTTGAGTCGGAGTTCCTCTACCGTTTCCGGGAGAGCTGACTCTGATGTTCTGACACTCCCCCGCCTGGCCCTCAGAGCTGGATCTGGTGTTTGAGTCAGAGTTCCTCTACCGCTTCCCGGAGGAGGAGGAGGAAGAGGAGCACCACGATCGCCGTCAGCTGGGCTACCACCACTCCCCCTACGACGCCCTCAACAGGGAGGTGGCCGGAGAGACGGACTTTGTGTTGCACAGCCACCGCAGCAAGCGCATGGTCCACCACCGCAACAAGAGGATGGTGCGCGACAAGAAGATGATCTACAAGGGACTCGAGAACGTCTTCTCCATGTGAGTTTGTCGGGAGCTGGGTGGAGCGTCGGGAAGGCTGTACTAGATGATCTGTTCGTGGACCTTGCTTGAAGATGAATGTGTTTCTTGTGGCTATTTTCATGTGGTCTTTTATTTTTCCGCAGTGGCAATGTCATGTTTGTTTTGTTTTGTTGGGTTAGGCCCTTTCGGTCCAATAAGACCATTTCAGAGTTGGGAGGATGATAGGATATAGGGGAGACATTGGTCTGGGCAGGCACCCTAGTGAGTCACCGGGGCTGAGCCCGTCCAGAGGACAGGCCACCCAGCCCCAAGGCACTCACTGCACCCGGCTACGGGGTGCGCTCCCTTGGGAGCAGCGGTGCCGCTCCAAGGGAGCAGCCCGCATGAGATAAAGTTGCCTGTCCAGTCCGGAGGGGGGTTGCGGCGTGGAGGAGAAGGATTTCAGTATCCTGAGGATAGAAGCACGGAACGGTGGCAATGTCATGATCCTAATCGAATTTCTTGGGCCTTTACTTGAAAGTCTTTCGATGTAAAAAATAACTCCACATCTTCTCCAAACGACTTCCAGGCATTTCCTCGAAACCGCTCACCGCTAATAATCAACTGTAGGTACAGCTGTTAACCCGCAACCGTTTACTGACCAGCGGCCTGTGACCATTGTCTGACGGCCGTTTCCTGCTCTGGTTCCAGTATGGGTCTGGACGGCCGATCCTGCCTCCTGCGCGCCATCTGTGAGGTCACTGCCACACCTCTAGTTTACGACGGAGTCGTCGGAGAACTGCTTAACATGGCGCTAGTGTAAGTGGCTTGGCTGCGACCTCTACCCATGGGTATTAACACTTACTGTCCTAGGTCCCTTCTTGAGGCGAACCAGACCTACATGGTGGTTGTGAGTCAACAAACATCTACTTACGGTTAAGCTGTGGCATTACAATGCTTTAGAGGGATGGCTTTTAAATAATTTATTCGTGGGCTCGTACGTCCCGTCTATCTTCCGGGACATTATGGGACCTCTTCCCTCCCCCACCCAGTCACCGAGGGGAAAGTGGCGCCGTGATTGTATCGGAGACGGTCCCGGCCGCCGCGCAGGGCTGATGTATAGCCCGCGTCTCCCTACATCTCCCTCTGTCTCTTTCTCCGTCTCTCTCTCTGTAACGTAAGGAGGCGGAGTCCCTGCCCGTTAGGCCCCGTCATATTTTATAAAGTTTTTGGAAGACCAGCTCCCCTGGTGTTTTCCCATTCCTTGTTGGCCCAATATGAAGTGTGCAAAATTTCAGCTTCATAGCTCAACGTTTGCATCTGCCTCAACGGCCTCGAAGTTTGCCTCATAGGGCATAATGGTGACTGCAATGCCGGTGTTAGCTGCATTCTCCCGGCAGCGGCGTTCCTCTCACTTCCTTGGCACAATATCGCCACGGATCAACTGCTGCCCCAGCAAGAGATGAACAAAACTAATCTTTGCCTTCGCCCCCCCCCCACACACGCCCCTCCCCCTCCTCACTCCCCCGTCCCGATTTTTTGTACATCGTTTGATTTTCACGAATTGTTCACGATCATTTTCTGTTTTTTTTTTCCATAATGCCTAAATGCTGATTGAGACAAATATCACGTCGGTTTAAGATAGTATCTATCTTAAACATGCATGTGCGTATATTAATATCGACTCAATACTGCGGCGGCGGCAAACTGACAACTACGAACGACAGCAGCAGCCAGAGACCAGGACGGCGGACATGGCACTGGTGACGGTGACGGGCACCGGTGTCACTTACTATGGTCCAGCCTGTGTGTCCGGTGTCGTGGCCTACCTACAGCAAGAGGGTTTTCTTGCGCGGCTTTTTGGAAAACTCCTGCAATGCGGTCTGGGAGTGAGCTCCACAGTTTTCAAAATTCAAGAGGGGCGCCAGGTTTTTTCTTCAATCGGGCGCCAAATCACCTGTGATCTGCAATGGGGCGCCTGTTAAGCTTTGCAGATGCGTCCGTGGTGTTGACAAGTGTGCCGAGTGCCCTGCCCCCCGGAATGGGCGTCATCGTTCAGAGGGGCGCGGGATGTTCTGGAGGGGTGACAATAATATTAAAATGGGGACGCGGGATGTTCTGGAGGGGCGCCAGTGATATTTACTGCTGCGGCGGATGCTCTGAGAGGGACTCCAGCGATAATGAATGGGGCGCCCACTCACCCGTGATCTTCAATGGGTCGCCTGATACGTTTTAGAGACACGTCGGTGGTGTTGAATGGCGTACCGAGTGATCAAGAGGGGGCAACATTTTTTTCGGAAGGGGCACGTCATATAGGTACTCTGAATGATGCGCACATAATATGTTATGTACAGGGTGACACAAAAAAAAACGGTCATCACCAAATTTCAAATAACTTCGGAAGTGTTATTCAGATCATCACCAAACTTCGGCCACTTAAGGTCACACCTATGTAGCATACATCCACCAAGTTTCAAGTCTTCACTACGAATACTTTTAGTACAGTGTGTGTTTTACTGACGCTCCACAATGTGCTCCAGGTGAGCGCCACGGCGCTGCAGGGCGTAGGCACACCTGCATCCGGCGGGCAAAGTTGTCGATAACTCGATAAGAATAACGTTTCAGGGGTAGCACACCCCCTGAGCACTGTCTCCAGAGGCCATTGCACTCTGTAAAGTGCACAGCCATCGGGTTATCGACATCTTTGCCCGCCGGATGCAGGTGTGCCTACGCCCTGCAGCGCCGGGGCGCTCACCTGGAGCACATTGTGGAGCGTCCGTAGAACACACACTGTACTAAAAGTGTTCGTAGTGAAGACTTGAAACTTGGTGGATGTCTGCTACATAGGTGTGACCTAAAGTGGCCGAAGTTTGGTGATGATCTGAATAAAACTTCCGAAGTTATTCGAATTTTGGTGATGACCGTTTTTTTTGTGTCACCCTGTAATATAATGTTATGTAATATGATATAATAATGTTATGAAGTATGCAATCCACTACCATGTTGCTTGCGTCAGAGGTTTGTGTGGGGCGCAGGTGCACGGGTCGTGGGTATTGATAGTGCTAAAGCGCGCCTTACATATAGCGTTATCAGGGCGCTCGGCACACTAGCCAATACCACGGACGCATCTGCAAAGCGTAACAAGCGCCCCTTTGAAGATCACAGGCGATTGGGCGTCCCATCGAAAAAAAAAACATGACGCCCCTCACCCTCCAGAGAGCAGAGCCGTATCCAGCATTCGCGGGCATTCAGGTCAAGCCCATTTTCCTGTACCTTTTAATTTGCCCCCCCCCCCCTTTGGACGCTAAAGGCGCCCTCATATTATGTCGTTGCATGGAAAGAAATGACTTGAGTTTTGAATAGTGCGGACTACGGAGTTCACTCCCAGACCGCACTGTAGGAGTTTTCCAAAAAGCCGCGCAAGAAAACCTTCTCTCTGTAGGTAGGCCACGACACCGGACACGCAGGCTCGACTATAGTAAGTGACACCGGTGCCCGTCACCGTCACCAGTGCCGTGCCCGCCGTCCTGGTCTCTGGCTGCTGCTGTCGTTCGTAGTTATCAGTTTGCCGTCGCCGCAGTATTGAGTCGATATTAATATACGCACATGCATGTTTAAGATAGACACTATCTTAAACCGACGTGATATTTGTCTCAATCAGCATTTAGGCATTATGAAAAAAAAAAAAAACAGAAAGTGATCGTGAACAATGCGTGAAAATCAAACGATGCACAAAAAATCGGGGCGGGGGGGGAGGGTAAGGAGGGGGAGGGGTGTGTGTGTGTGGGGGGGGGGGCGAAGGCAAAGATTAGTTTTGCTCATCTCTTGCTGGGGCAGCAGTTGATCCGTGGCGATATTGTGCCAAGGAAGTGAGAGGAACGCCGCTGCCGGGAGAATGCAGCTAACACCGGCATTGCAGTCACCATTATGCCCTATGAGGCAAACTTCGAGGCCGTTGAGGCAGATGCAAACGTTGAGCTAGGAAGCTGAAATTTTGCACACTTCTTATTGGGCCAACAAGCAATGGGAAAACACCAGGGGAGCTGGTCTTCCAAAAATTTTATAAAATATGACGGGGCCTACTGCCCGTGGACGCAGCTCTGCATATAGAGCGGTGTTTAGTGCGAGCAAAAGAATGGGGACAAACGTAAGGCGCTTTCAGATGTGTTCAGATGCGCCCACCTGTTTATGTTTGGACCCCTGGGTGAAAGTGATATATGATTTCGGGAATATCCTTTCACAGCTGATAAGTGGCCGATGTTTATTAGTGTTATGAGCGATTTTGAAATGAAAAATCGTGAATGACGAGATAAAAATTTGTCACTAAATAATTTATAGCTCCCTAAAAAGTATCAGAATTTTACTAACGGGGGAATAATCCTTTGACCCCGCAACTTCAGTGCTTATGCCTAATTCAGCATTACGATACGAGCCACGCATTGTCAAAGAGTCACTGCGCGGAAGTTGTGGACTTTTGCCAGTTGAAATGTGGGTCAAAATTCATTAATGCTGACCCTTTCAAATAAATTCACATTCTTGCACGGCTGATCGGCAGTTGTGAATTTTACTGTTGGGCGGATATCAAGTCAGCTCGGAGACCGCATTCATGTTTTGTTTAGCAGGTAGCTCTCACGGCACACCCTTGCCATTCCTCATGTCCAGGCGTCTCAAAAGCTGCATCCTTCAGTCACTGCCGGTCTGAATCGGCCAACTCTCGTCACGTATTTGCACTTTATCTCGATACGTCGGTGGTAGTGAACGCCGTCTGCCTTGGCCAGTCTTAATATCCAGTGATCTCACTTACGATGCACGCTACACGTCTTTTGCATAACTCAATACGCGGCGAACCGTAGCCCGTTGGATCTCTGAATTAATTCTGACGCCCTGCTCGTGGCGCTCAGGGCAGTGACCCCTTTATGTGCCCGGAACTGGGGCGGCTGTCTGCAAACTGGCCCGTCACCCCTTCTGCACACTGACCTAGGAGAATGTGAAACGAGATGGACTAACCCGAAACGGGGCACTGGCTGAGCGAATTTACATACGGACGACGCAACAGTTGCGAGTTTCACTGGTCGTCTGACTTGATTAGAGTTTGGTGTCTTTCAGACTATGGGGGCATTCCACGTCAAGTGGGACAAAAAATGATCATTTTGAACCTCACCTCCTCCGATTTTTGCGAAACTTTGTGAAACTACTCATCTATATGTGAAAAGAAAGGAGACATATTTTTGTCAAGATATGACGTCACGTTTCCGAGATACACGTCATCAAACATTGACTTAGGCAAGGCACATTATCATCTTTAAAGCGTCATAACCATTGAAGTTTTAGACATATCACCACGAGACAAAGTGTGAAATGGAGGGAATAGGTCAGGCTTTAATTTGAGGCTAACAATATTGACGTAATTAACTAATTAGTGAACCTAATTAAAATTCAAAAAATAAATTTTAATTTTCTGAAAAATGGGTACCCTTCGATTTTGCTGATTTTTACATATTTTATTCTCTTATACATTAGCTACATCATATAAAAAATCCAGAATGGGCCGACGTCTACGTAGCCGTCTTTTGGACTTCGTAATGTCTGGCGCTCGCGTGTTTCGTTTTAGCAACCAAGGAGAGGCGCTACCCGGAGATGCTTCTTTCTACCCCAAACCAAAGCAAACAAACCTAACCTGACCTGACGTGACCTGACCTAATCTAACACACGTAAATATGTACAGCCCTCACGGCAGTTGCCGATTGGCCAAATGCTACCTACTTAGATACGAACATTGCCCTCACGACAGTTGCCGGCTGGCCAGATGCTACTTAAAAAACAAATGCGTGTTGAACACTTCAGGCTCACCCGCTGCGAGCCAGCGACCTTTAGATTTCGAGGTGGGTACACTCGGCACACTTACTACTAAGCCACGAAGATAGCTGGTCATCGTAAGCCAGTTTTTTAATGATGAAATTGGGCATTCTCCGAGCAGCGCCTCTCTTTAGTTGCAAAAAGGAAATACGCCTGACTCTCCCAGCGCTAGGGGAGAAAAGCCCGGTTTAGCCAAAAAAGGTATATAAAAACGGAATTTGAATTGTGGGTGGGGCGGTGGGGAACTTTATCGTGTGCCAATTTCATGGCCCTAGATCAATATATTCAAGATCAAATGAGGTTAAACGTGATCAAATTTGTTATGGTGACTAACTATTTTGCGTGTATACGCCCATAGCTTTAAGAGATACTGGCCGATTTTCCTTTTTCTCCCTTTATACGACATTTGTAGTGTTATGAGAATCTCTAGTTAATATTACCATAAATTTGGCAGTTAGTGGCTGGCTAAGAGTAAGATGTCGCCGGCAGAGGCGGGGATCGGCCGACGCGGGAAACGTCAGTCACATGTTGTGTTTGCACCCTAAAAATTTAATTTTACCAGTTGATTTTCGTATTTATTTGAACATTAGATTGCCTGTACATTTTTAAGCCTTCACAAAAAAATGACACGAATCGGTCATAATCAGCGGTAAGAAGCGCGGTGCAAAGATGGAACCGTCCCGCACCGGCACAGTCTACTATTCAGGCGGCAGCGGCCGGCGCCGGCCGCCGAGCCGCTCCGGCAGGAATGTTTGACTTTACACCGCTATTACAAGAAAAGTTGTGGACCGATTTACCTATTTCTTGCACGGGAAGATTTGCAATTCGATTCTAGACAGATACTTTAAGTTTGACGTTAATATAATAACTATGGCGTGAGTTATTGGCGATAAACCGGTGGAGCTAGCGAAATCGGCCCCTTCCACCGCCCGTGCTACGTTGCACTACTTGTTGCTATATCATCCAAAGTTATCGTTGGCCCACTCTAATTTTCTCAGCACGTATGCCTTACGTCTAGTGGAAGACAATATCTAAATTTGAGCAAAATCGAAGGGTACCCATTTTTCACAAATTACATTTTAAGAAATTAATTCAAAATAAAATAAATTCAAAATCACCAAAAAATATAAAAATTGTCAAATTTTACTAGCATAGCTCCTTATGTACACGTTTCAGTTTGTTTGAAATTAATAGCTTCAAAAATGTTGAAGCTATAGATCTTTCAAGATTGCAATACACGTCCAATTCTGCTCAAAAAGCAGAAGTTTAGCGACTTGTATCTCTGTAGCCCGAGGGCATATGACAAAATCCTTTCACCCTCAGAGGTTTCACCCAATAGCCAATAAGTATACCAAGTTTGAACGAAATCGCAGAGGTGGCCGATTTTGGCTGTCCCGGTTGACATGGAATGCCCCTATGTCTATTTATTCCCGTGAAAAGTCGGCTAAATCTGGGAGAACCCCAGGAATAATCCTTTTAATTTTATTCTCATTTCAAAGCAGGTGGAGTAAGAATTACCCCAGAAAGGAACTAATCCCCTGTTCTCTCCTCCATTTCTGACATCTCACCACACTGACGATAACCTCTATAAGCTGGCCTTCCCTTGACCTGACCGAAGGCCTATCCTCCACGTAAAGGTCATGCCACACTGATGATGACCCCTATGAACTACCCGTCATCCCCTAGAATAACCAATGGTTTATCCCCTCCACAGGTCTCATCACACGGTGACCCTATGGTCCTCTCCCTCACTGACCATTGACCAATGATCTCTCCCTCCACAGACCGCGTCACACAAACGGCCACCACGACGACCTGAAGGTTTACCTGGAGGCCGAGGAGCACGGCCTGCTGGGCAACGACTGCAGCGTGACCTACAGCGCCTGCCCCGTGTCCCTGTTCACCTTGGTGGCACCCGGATCCGTTCAGTTCGACAGCTAGGTAGTTAGGAGCTCGGTGCAATGTGAGGGCTGTCGATATGTTCATATTCGACAGGTGATGTCGAGATGTTCATATACGACAGATGATGTCGGGGTGTTCAATACTCGACAGGTGATGTCGGGATGGTCAAACTCGACATCTAACTAGCTCAACAGGCATAGGGGCGACTCGATAGTTTATGTCGGATTTGCTTCATTCGAATCTAATGTCGGGATGGGGTACAGGATTACGTTCATATTAGGGCACTGAGCGTAATGCGTATGACGCATTATTGCTCAGTGAATAATCCTGACAGAATCACAGGTCAATCCACAAGGTAGATTGAACTGCGTGGGATTTTAGTTGAAGGGTTGGGGTGCGCGCGGTAGACATGTTTTAGTAACTTCTTGATACAAATCTGTTGAATTGTTATAAGATGCGTAAAACTAACGCCACTGTTGTGTGTTTCGATGTTGGTTGTTGTTTTCACGCGTTGTTATTCAGTTTTTAAGCTGACCAGCCGTTGTTCGCTTGTTATAAATGCAGTACGCAAACTTGTTATTTGTTGACTGTTTTGTTGTTACGTAGATGTTCAAATAACGGTTGACGCTCCCTTTTGAAACGATGTCATATTGAATGACACTGCTTATCATGCAGTACAAAGAATATATTAGTCCTAGACGCAAATAAAAAATGCAACTTGATGATTGTTTTCTTCCTTCCTCAAATGTCGTCTTTCTGCAAAAAAGTAATTTATTGGAGCCACAAGTCATCCTGTTCCAATACATACATGACCTATGCATTTCAATTGATCCTATTTTTGCAATCCTATTCTTGCAAGTCTTGCAATGTTTAGAAAGATACACACGAAACGGAAATTTATTGCGAAGAAAATAGTTTGGAAAATAGACACCATGATCGATTTGTCAACCTGCGCCGGTAGATATATTTAGTATTTATCTCAATGTAAGATTTTTTAAATGGCCGGTAAAGAAGCGCACAAAACGCATAAATATATTTACCGCGCATTTGCCTGCATTCTGTAGATCGAGTTTTACCATTTAGCCACTAGATGTCACTCCAATCCTTGCTACAAAAACAATTAACGAATAAAATTACCTACCTCCTAGCAGACAGCTGGCCAAACATTCTTCCTCTAATACCTGTTGCCATGACTGTGAGCCGACACTAGCCCAAACCGAAGCCACACACCGCGCCATCTCGCCGCACGGAAGCAGAATGCCCCGAGGCGCCTGGAACTGTCATGGCCGCCGCGTAGGATCGATCGTCGCTGGCGTCGGTCGGCCGGAAGGCGACTCGTCGGGGTGTGGTGAGCGGACTGTGAGAGATACGGGTGCTGCCAACAGCTCACCGTGCTATTGTGAGAAGGGTGAGGAGGAGTGAGAAGTGGTGAGCTCACCGACCGGTGCGTGAGCTGGTGAGGGGGAACTCACCGGCTGCCAACACGGATAAGCCAAGGTGAGTTGACAGGTGCTTTTAGGCTTCAATAGTCAGTAGTCACCACGCATGTTAGCTATACCCGACATGGTATGGTAAATTGTGTACGTGAATGTTGATACATCGGATACAAAAAGAACAAAATACAAGCCTAGGTATAATAAAAACAATGCTTAGGTAGTGAACCACGTTTGAGGCTTTCGTGAGTCGCACATTCTAAAAAGCACTGTGTTGACGAGGAGAAAAGCTTTACGGCACAACCATTACGAGACAGCTAGGTCAACATGCTTTACTTTGCTAGTTAGCTTGGTATCTGGGCTCATCAGGGTCAATGGGAGAGCTGAAGGTGTTAAGTGCGGAGTCAGACGCCACTCATGCATTTCGAGCGTGTCGTCAGTGACCTGTTATATAAGAGCTTCCGGAAAGCTCGTTTGACACGGAATTGAGTTAGACTCGTCGGCGTTTTCAAAGGCAACACGTTACGCTAGTTTCAGTAATAAGCTTCGAAAAATAGCATCCTCTGATGCCTGATGGCTATACGAGCTGTGGACAGGGTGGGACGGGTGGCGACGTTGTCGAGGTCAGGGTCACATCACTTGCACGCCGATCAATAACCGGTGACGCAACAGCCTTTGTTTACGTCCTGCAATAAAACGGTCAGCGGTTCTCCATCTGTGTCGTGATTAGTAGTGGGAGCTGTTAAATGTGCCGGAACGAGATTCTACACCCATATTTCTATTCCATTTGCAGTGTTCCTGCTACAAGATGCTCGCTTCAGATCAGCTGGGTTTTAACGCGTGCATTTGCACTCAATTCGTAAACACCTAGGCTGAGAGTAACGTTTAAATAATAAAAAAAAGAACATTCGAGCTCTGGCTCGTTTTTATACATTTTCCCAAGGTAAACAGGATCAAAGAAATTTCGTTGACACATCTTTATTCAAATATTGTTACGTCTAACAAAAAATACATTTGTTACGTCCATAACGTGAGGCATTTGTAGCGAAAGGGAAATGAACATTAAACGGCAACATTATATTTGTCTCGAATATTATATCTATTCACTAGTCACTGAGCCCTTGAACACATAAATCCCCCATATTGGTTGCCCTGAGCTCCCCCCCCCCCCACACGTTTACTTTATTCACTCTCCTATTTTGTTTCCCTGAAACCGCCTCTCCTTACCTTATTCCCTCCCCTACTTTATCACCCTGAGACCGCCCCTGCGCGTTGCCATCGATCGCCCGCGGCCTCGTCCCGCGGATGACCTTGAACTGCGTGCCTCTGTTGAACGCACGCGTTCGGCGGCACCATCTCAGCTGCGGAGACCCTGACCGCGCCTAGCAACAGGGCAGGGCGTACTGGAGACCCGGGGTCGAGCCAGCCGTGTCGATAGCGGCGCACAGCTCAGTATCAGGTGGAGTAGTACCCCGTGGTTTTATGTGATGACCTAAAGGAAATGTAATGTGGCAGCATTAGCCTGATATTTGAGCACAATAGTTAAGGTCAGGTGATGAATGATGAAGATCATTTATCATAAACATGGTATTAACTATTTATGGGTAACCTGAATACCTACAGCAGATGGCTGATCTTAGGTCACGCTGCTCTTTTGTGCATTTGTAAAATTATGGCAAGCTGGCAACAGAAGAAAGCGTCCTCAAGACAAAGGAGATTGCCTCCTTGAAACAGAAAGTAATTTCTAGGAATCAATCGGTTGCTATTTTACCTCGTCTAGGACTGAGTACATTGTTCACTGGCTTAGGTACTGTAGGAAATGCAGGCAGTGATGTGGCAATACCATTTGAGTTATCGACATCTCTTTGTCTGGTCTGGACCGTTCATATGTTGTGAATGTGCTAGATACGCGCTAGCAAGATCTCGGGCCATATATTTTAAACCCGTTTTTTATTTGCCTCAGGCGTGCGATGGCGCGATGAGCCGGTTAGCCGGCGCCCCCGGCGTCACCGGACACGTGACTTGTGACGTCACGGAGCAGAGGTCAGCTGACGCAGACGGCTACCGGCGCGCCTTCAGGGTGGGTACTGGGTGCCGCAAACAGACACGATATAGAGAGGCTGCTGTAACACCGCAGTGCCTTTGATAGGTTCACTTTCTGTTGCAACACTTTCTTTTCGGCCTTTTTAATTTTCAGAAATGGCCATGGGATATTGCATTTAAATTCTAAGTATGTACAACCGGCTTTGTAATTAATTACTCCCAAAAACAGACGAGATAGTGCATATCGCTAAAGCTAATAGAGCTCACCTTAAGGGGCGAGTTATCTCTGATCTTCCTCAATGTGATCGCTCTCCGCCCTGACCCACCTGTGACCTGTGACCGTGACCTGGCCCTCAGGACAGTCGCGGCAGCGCGTTCAACCGCTCTATCATCGAGAACCCGCTGTTCGCCATGTTAGGAGGTGGGGAGGACCGTGACCCACTGAGGTCAGACGCTGACCTTTGGCCGGTCAAACGGCCGCTGGGGGAGGACGAGCCGCCGTGTCCCACCAAACTGAGCCTGGGTGGAGGGGAGCAGTGCTCCGTGAGGGTCACTTCGAGAGAAGACAGGTGAGGAATGACAGGTGACAGGGCGGGGTGCTCCTGGTGACAGATCAATGCTAGGTCATGCGACAGTTGAATGTAAGAAGCAACGTTTTGTTTCAGTAAGTTGAATAGGGACGGATTGACGAGGCCAGGGCCAGAGCTAATCATAAGCCAAACCTGAGAGAAATACGGATGTCAGTCAAAAGCTCATGTCTTTGTTGTCTGAATGCTAAATTTAAATGTTAGAAGAGACTTTAAAATACTCTTCTGATCGCTAGCACACTGACCACTGGACACTGACCTGTGTTGACCTCTATGACCCCTCACCAGGTTTATACCGTACGAGGGCCGCCCTATGAAGCGGTGTCACTCGGCCCCCGGGGGTCACGTCAACCTGAGAGACTCTGCGGGTCGGCGACCTCGGCTGCTGCACCAGCCCAGCCGGGTCGACATGGTCAAAAGGTCAGACTGGCAGGGCATATAATTATATATGGAGAGAGAATAGGCGGATATGTATGGTTACAACGGATTTGCTGCACACTGATGAGATTTGTTTGAAAGATTTGTATAAATATTTCTGTGATAAGAGAGGTTATAAAAATTTATTCTACTGATATGTTTTGTTTCTTCGCATTTGTGCTTACATTAGTGTATCTAATTTAGTATTTTCTTTAGCTGTACCGTCTAACGCAAAAGTAAGCACACTCCGTTCCTGTCTTCCTCACTGCTCTTTCTTCGTTTTCAGTTACATGCGTCAGGCGGCGAAGCACTATTTCGGTCTGGACGAGTCGGACGATGACCGGAACCGGGCGCGCTGGAGGGAGCGTCGTCGCCGACTGGCCTGCCGCGCCTATGGCCGGCTCAAGCCCGAGTGCTGCCAGGTCAGAGAGCGGGGGTGTCGGGTCAAAATGGAGGATGTCAGGTCAGGGAGGGGTGCTGCCAGGTCAGAGAGTGGGAGCGGTCAGGTCAGAGAGCGGGGATGCCAAGGCGGAAAGCGGGGCGGTCAGGGGTGCTGTCAGGGCAGATGTGGGGCGCTGCCAGGGATGATTTTGGGATGAAGGGTCAGATAAAGGCGGGTTGATGACAAGAAAGGTGGAAAGCCGTCCAGCCTGCCAGACATGCACTGTCGTGTTCTGTTCTTGGTTCTTCCTTACCCATTTAGCTGAATGTTCTCTATTGGGCTATTTACCCGTTTCCTTTAACAATTTTATGTGGGTGTTGTTGACTGTAGAGCTATACGATCATGCAGTATGCAGGTTCTGGCAGTCCATGGCCGTAATGACCTTGTCAGTGATTCAGACCTTGTAATGATTCGACCCCCCCCCCCCCCTCTGACCCTGTGTAATGTGTATCGTTCCTTTTCTCAGGAGTCGGTGTACGAGCCGCCGTCGTACCGGCGCCGTTCCCTGTCCGACCTTGTGGACATGGTGGACGGCCCGGAGCCCGCGGCGCCGTCCGTCCCCTGCCGCAGGAAGGAGCACGTGGCGCAACTCACATGGAGGGGGCTCGGATACCTGTCACAGGTGCGTCACACAACGGGCAACGGGGGGTCACGAGTCGGTCACCAATTGATCATCAGAGTCACCAATCGGTCAGACATACATGATACATATAGCACTTATTGCTCACTAAGACCGTGGTAGCAGTGAGTAGTCGTTTTGTATGATACCTGTTTCAGTATCAGAGGCTTCGTACCCGTAT